TGACAGATGGTTTAAGCAGGAGAACTTCAAACAGATGTGGGCAAACATCTGTGGAATTAACAAAGCCAAGAACAGAGAGCAGAAGTGATATTTCATGGCAACACGGCAAGTCAGAGTCCATGACTATAAACGCAGTCTATGACCTAAATCTGACCCCCTAACACAAGGGAGTTTGGATGTCCAAACTAAACTTTGTCAGCTCCTGAATGGAAAACAAAGCCTTCCCCTCTGACTGGGGATGGAGAGGGAAAAAAAGGAGATGTCTTGGTTTGTTGGTACATCAGCAGAAACCCATGACAAAATACAACAGTCTATTCATGTCACAGAACACAGACTCCTCATTTTGCCCAGCTTTATAACACAAAGAGAGTGAGAGACCACCACGACCATGTAAGAACTCCCCACATTCAATCTAAGTAAAAATAAGTTCATTCCTTTCTACTCCACGCAAAAAAAAAGCTCCCTAGGAGGAAAAAAAAAATTTAAAAAATCTTTCTTTCTGATGTCAACTTTACAGTTCACCTCCTCAGACAAAGCTATAAATCTGTATGCAGCTTAAATCAATAGTTGGTGCCCATACAGCCAATAACTTCTTTCCACACTGAACCTCAGCCTAACATGCAGAAGGAAAGCAAAGAGCCTGATCCTGTGACAAGGACCCTCACTGCCAGCCAAGCTACTAAACCCCAAATCCTTTGCTCCCTGAGCTCAGCTCCCTACTGAAACCTCACAGAGGAGTTACCCTCACACCAGGACTGCATCAAGTCACCAAGAAGCTGTTTGAATTTGTCCAAAGCAGAAGCGTGCATATGCAGATAGACACATTCAGAAACAGGACATTATTAGAGGAAAACGGGAATTGTGGAAATTGGGGAGGTTTTTTTAAATTTTCACAAGTGTTAAGATAAAAACTGGTCACAAAGCAGAAAAACAAACTTTAACCAAGATGATGGATTACAGACATAAAGAATAAAAAAACTTCATAGCCTCAGTGGAAGAGTTTAAAAGTGCTGCAAATCAGGCTCTCCTCTAAGATACCCTGACATTGGGGGCATTACATTTTTACTCATATTTACGAAGTTTAGAATTATGAAAAGTCCAGAGCTCAACATCTCAGTCTGAAAATCCTTCAGCTAAGTTTAGGACGACTAGATCACGATTTCCAGCCTAAATTTCTTAATTAGTTGAAAAAGGTTATATGAGTTAGAAACAGTTGCATGACTTCCTTCTGCAAGGTATGTTCCTACCTGGACAGCAGCATCAACTTGTTTGATACCTTTCACTGGACAATTGGCAAATTATTTCCAAGTATTGTACTTCAGGCTACCTCTGAGTAGAGATGGACGTTAAATGTGTGTCCATCCCATTTTAAAAAGCATTGTTGACCATTCCATCGTATGTTTCCTGTGGAATTGCTCAAGTGTCTTCCAAAAATAGCCAACAGTTTTGCTGAAAGGCTCAAAACAAATAACACTTCTGAAGGAGTATCTTACATAGTTTACATAATAGGCATCTCAGAAGGGAAAAAAGGATGTGTACAGCGTTTCAGTGTGAATTCTGCACTGAACAAAAAGACATCATTCTTTGCTTAACACAAGGCTGAAATTCACCATGAAGAAAACTGCTGAGGTCAAAGCCTCAGGGCTTAAGTTGAGAGGGAGATATTCTCAAGGCAATAGCTTTTATCCTTGATTCAAATCAAAATACGATATGGAACAGGAACAGTCAGCTGGTTTAAGCCTCAAAAAGGAAAAGCTCTACTCTAGCCAAAATATATTCACAAAAATTGAACACATTTTTAAGTTGTTACCAGATCCACGTCTGCACACTTCTGTTTACTTTTTTTTTTTAAATTATTTAACACCTGGTCCTTATCTCCTGACACAGAGTTTAGCTTTCCTGCTAAACAAAGTATCTCAATTTATAACTAAATACTGCAAGTGTAGAGTGTCATAACCACTGGTGCTTCCACATCACTTCATATTCAGCTGTATCTCTCCTCACGACCTGAAAGTTAACACGGACGTATATTCCTCAGTGAAAGTCTGTCCCTTATGGGTAAAATACTGAATGCTTCACCAAAGAGGAATTGTTACAGACAATCCTGTAGCAGTATGAAGAGGCAAATGAGGTGATGAAGTAAGCAATGCCATTTTTTTTTCTTTTTTTTTCGAGAGCCCAGAGATTAAAGTTATACTGTTTGAATCAGGATAACAACAGGTGAAGGGTCTAGAATTTGTGTTAGCAAGTGCTTTGGGATTGTTTTCCTTTTCTCCTTAGAGGAAAACAAGCTGTGCTTTTCTCTTCCCAAAGAGACAAACAACTGTTTTCAGATCGTGCAAATACACAGCTGAATCTCAATTATTATTGTCATTCCCACATCCCCAAACACCACCAGGGCGTGAGCAAGGAAGTGAGCTAGATCAACAGTTGACAGAAATGTGTGGAAAATCCTCACTAGGAAAAGAACCTGTGTATGTTTGATAAGAGGCAGGGCAGGGCTTGGCAGGACACACTTGGTTCCAAGCTGCTAAATACAATAACTTCATCAACAGGCCCCGGAGCTCAGCCTCTACCACCTACCCTAATATTAACTACAAATCTGGTTGCCATCTGGTGGCAAACACAGAATGAAGATAGCATCTGTGATGAATTCAAGGTGGACCAGCTTCCCTGTCCTGTCCCCTTTGGAACAACAGTAAGGTAAAGAAAACTACAGATGTGGCCATGCTCACTCTTGTGTACAGAGTGAAGGCAGGACCCTGCTGCTGCAGCTCCATACTGGATCTGCTAGTCATTGGGGTTTTTTTCCAAGCAGTCGGACAAGCTGAAGGAAGGGATGCTCCTAGTCTCAGTGACTGAGCTAAAAGTACTGGATGCAGCATATACAACATTAAATCCAAGTGGTTTGGGCTGCCATTCTGACCCAGCAGCGTTTTTGAGCAGTGTCAGAGATTGGTACAAGGCTCAGGCCAGCACTGCATTTAATCCCAACCCTCCTAGATTAAATCTAGCTGCTAAAGATAACTCCCAGGAAACACGAGCAGCAGTGGGCAGATCTGCTCGCCCGCCCTCCCACCAAGATGCACCAGTCCTTATTCAGTCAATGTCATCTCACAGCAAACCACTGAAAACCAAGACGAGCGTGCCTGCAATAAAAGCAGCTGATCAATGTCCCTGCGTAAAACGCCCGATAATCCCTACACGGAGCAGGCATCTGGCATCAGATGCAGCATGCCAGAGAGATGAACAGGAAAAGTATCCATTGCATATTCCTGGCACCTTCTGCTGGCACAGGGGTGGGCGGAGAGCAGCGAAAGGGCTCCCGGGATTCAAAAATCCCCCCGTCTCTCAGCGGATCGGCACAATCTTTAAAGGCCGTGTGGCTTTGGCTGCAGCAGCATTCCAAAGCCAGGAGCTCAAGGTCAGCGCAGCAAGCAGCGGCTATCACGCGATGCTGCTGGAAGATAAGGGGCGAGCGTCCATCTCCCTCCCCTCGCCATCCTTGAGGTTACGCATTTAGCGCTATGGCAAAACACAGAGCCGCTCTGGAAGATGCTGCATTAAAGCACAACCTAAATGCCCCAACGGGAAGGTCTCCTCCTGTTGAAACAATAAGCATCTGCCGATCCAACACGAGCGAGCGGCGCTCCGTCCTCCCTCCCGCTCCCGGCCGAAGCCGATGCCATGTTTCCGCAGGCGGCCGGGGAGCGCTCCCCGCTCCAACACTCGGCATTCCCGGGGGGCGAAGGGGCCCTCATTCCGCAGGCACGGGAGGCAGCTGCCACCCCCCGAAGCGCCCACTGCGAGACGCATCCCTGCTCCGGGGAGCGCTGTCATCCCCGGTACCCGCGGCCCCCTCCCGGCCCCGCATCCCGGGGATGCCCCCGTTCTCCCCTACCTTCTCCTGCGCCCGGGTCAGCTTCTTCTGGACGTTGCTGGCGATTTTCCCGGCCGTGACCCCCTTGCTGCCCAGCTCGGCCATCTTGCCTCCTCTTTTTAACGGGCTGCGAGCGACGGACCGGCAGGAAGGGGGGGAAAAGCCGGCGGGCAGGCGATGGCCCCGGCCGTCACCGCCGCCGCCGCCCGCCGGCCGCCTTTTAAAGGGATAGTGCTGCCTTACACGGACAGGGATGGGGCAGGTTCTGGACGGGTTTCCCCCACCCTGCCTGCCTGCCTGCCTCCTCCGGGTCCCCGCCGCCGCCTGTCCCAGAGGAAGCCAACAGGGTGGGAAAGTCTGGCAAGCATCGCAAGGGATTAATCTCAGGTGGCAGAGTGAGTTTGCGGTGGTCTTTCATCCCGCAGCAAAACGACGCTTTTGAGAAATCTGTACCACTAATCGTCATCTCCGATTGTCCAAATTCATAGGACAAAGGTACTTCTCAAATTACTCCTGGATCTTTGCAAGTACAAAGGGGAAATTTAACTCCTTGAGGGGAGGTACCTAGAAGTGAATCAAACCCCTGATTTTAAAAAGTGACATGAAATTTCAGAAGATTCCATCCTCTAATCATAGAATTATTAAGGTTGGAAAAGACCTCTCAGGTGATTGAGTCCAACCATTACCCCAGCATCACTGTGTTCACCACTAAACCATTATCCCTAGATGCCACATTCCCTACATCCTTTGAACACTTCCAGGAATGGTGATTTCAGTTTCCCTGGGCAGCATTTTCCAGTGTTTGACCACACTTTCAGTGAACTATTTTTTCCCAATATCCCATCTAAACCTCCCGCAGCACATCCTGAAGCCATTTCTTCTAGTTCTGTCACTTGTTACCTGGGAAAAGAGAATGACCTCCACCTTGATACAATCTCCTTTCAGGTGACTACAGAATGATGAGGTTTTCCCTGACACTCCTTTTCTCCAGGCTGAATCCTCCCAGCTCCCTCAGCTGTTCCTCGTGGGATTTGTCCTCCATACCTTTCACCAGCCTTCTCACCATTCTGGGGACACACTCCAGCGCCTCAACATCCTTCCTGAACTGAGTGGCCACAAAACTGAACACAGGATTTGGGGTGTGGCCTCTCTAGTGGCAGGTACAGGGAGATGATCACTGCCCTGCTCCTGGTGGCCACACTGGCCATCCATTGGCCCTCCTGGCCACCTGGCTTTGGTTTTGCATTGCTAGATCTACCGGGCAAATACCTTTTGTGAAACTTTATTCCTTTACACGTCAGGACAAAGTTCTGCTTCCTGGAATACAGGAATCCACCTCAGCACTGTTATTCACATACTAATACTTGCCCCCAAGCTTCCGTCAGTACCATACACCAGGGCTTGGGTGAGTGGTAGGGAAGCTTCCTTCCTTCTCATCCTGCTTCTGCACGCTCATCCCAGTTCTTTATGGGAGCTTGGGACTATGTGCTCTCAGTACTCTGTACAGTGCCAACCAGTCCAGTGCTCTGCAGAAAATGGAGATATATAACAAACTTGCATTTACCTTTGTTTAAGATGGAAACACCTATTTTACTTAAACAATGGGACCAAAACCTCCCTGTGTCCCCAGACCATTTCACAGAGTCATTACTTTTCCAGATGAAGACTGTTATCTCCAGTTTCACACACACAGGGAATAGCATAGCATGCACTACTCCAACGTAAAGCAACAGATAAATGTTGAAGGTGATAACTTAAGAGAGCTAGGCCAGGTCTTCTAACATATATGTCTGTTATTTATTGTTTCCCATTTCAGCTTCAGTACTCTTTCTGTTCATTCCAAACAGAAAATAAAAATAAAAACAAAATAAAAACCATTGTCTTGCCAGAGCCCTTAGAAACTGTGGGCAGAGAACCTGTCAACACCTCTTTGTAAGGCTTCATGAGACAGTGCCTCTGCATTTCTTGCCTGTTCTGACAATGGCTTTTTTTTAATGACAAAACCTTCCTTCTGAATCCAGTTAAAATATACTTCAATTATGTTAGTAGATATGCTATTCCCATTTAATAAAATATTTGGGCATGTGTTTCAATTGTGGATGAGCAAAGTGCAGTGATACAAGACATACTCAACGTGTGAGTACCCATGATGCCAATCTGTATTGGAAACTGCAAATTTATTCAATTACTTCCTGGCTTTACATTTAGCATGCATCTTTCTGTAGGATTAGTATTTAGTATTAATTTAGTATTCATTTTCTTAGTTTTTGTCCCAAATGCATCTGATTTTACCATAAGTTCAGCCTTACTAGTTATTTTCATATTACCTTTCTTCTTGGGTATCATCTGTAATTTTTCTCTCATTCTCACCTCCCCTATCTTAGCTGAGCTTTTCAGGTTGAAAGATGCACATGTGGTTAAACATTTGTAACATCACGTTTAAAAGAGCAGATGTATCAGGGTCTGAACACATTCCTTTCCACCTTACCTCATATATTTACTTCTCCTGCTTAAGTCTTTTCTTCAGTAAAACCGATTTCGAAGGGATTTTTTGTCTGATTAAGTCCCTTCAAGTGAAAAGCAAATGATTGCAGCTGAAAAGAGAGTCCACAGCAAACATCAGACAATCGTGAAACAAAAGCCGCCAGACACACACGTTCACCACAATGAAAAATGATGACAAACTGTGTACACTTTAAAAGCTGGGATTAACAGCAAGTATCCACCTCTCAGCATGAGTCACTTCACAGTTATTTCTGTGCTTGATTGGATCAGCACCAAAGCTGCAAAGCATTTGCTGGGCTCCAGGTGTATTACAAAAGGAACTCCCCTGGCATGACCCTTGTGTTATGAGTGGCCATGCAACAGAATGACCACATAAGCCATTTCAGCCAGGTAATATATGCAGGAGTTTGTTCCTTTGTGAACAAGGGTGGCTTCAGTCCCACATCTATCCACCATTGTTCTATCTCAAGTTTACTGTGTTTCACAAGGTTATAAATGTAAATTATTTCAATTAGACTGCAGTGCAATCATGTAGTAACATACAGGCTATCAAGATACGCTTATATTTATTTATGCTTTGTGGCATGGTGAGACAGAGATGTCAAACCTTTTCGAAGCCATTAGTGACAGATTCTGCACAAATGGAGTTTAAATAAATCAAACTCAATGCTTATGAGTATCTCCCGCAATGAGATTCGTTTAAGTTCAATATGTGCATAGCTGTCTAATCTATTCTAACACTAGACCCCAGAACACATCATTTCACCTGACTGTAACCAGCTAAATATGTTTAATTTAAGCTGAGTCACCTTGGTTCCTTTTATAGTCAAAAGAGAGGAATCCGTGTCTCCAAAGCTGATAAAAGGTAAACCAGAAACATCTCCCTTCCCCCTTAGCTACAGAGGGAGATTATCTGAATAGCTTAAATTGCTAAAGTTAAGAAAGCCAGATGGGTTATGAAACCCACCTGTAGTCCATCTCCCTGGTGACAGGATGACTCATTTCCACAGTTCAGAGGGAAAAAGCAAATCTGTCAAACACTCTAGCACAAACAGGCATATTTAACACGTACATACCCACCACTGCTTTTTTATGGCTTTCTTAATTGATTAATACTCTAGTCAATAATAACTATGTTAGGTTTCAGCCCCATAAGTGCATTTCACTTCTCAGTTGTCTCATTAAAGGGAGATGAACTGTTCACCTGTTTACAATTAAACATATGCTTAAATGCTCGCTGGCTTGGAGTCTATTATTTTGTAGCTTAGGTACAATTTATTCCCTTCATTGCAGAAATTGTTGTTCCAGCTCTTTTTTTCATTATTATTAGTATTCCTGTTTTACCAGTTTTGTCCATCTGGGAGCAGGATGTTTTCTTCATGATTAGTAATTTAAACTGTATAAAAATTTATTTTTCAAAGAGTGACTTCCAGCGTATTCATTAAATTCTTTTTTTTTTTTTCTGACTTGAACTTTTTAATTGTAGTTTGTGTGTTTAAAAATACAAGCTGTGATAATAAAATCTTCCCTGCTACTGATGGCAAAATCTTTCATGTATAATCCAATTCATTTAAATAAAATAATTCTGAAGTTACAGCAGTAGAGGTTTCTACTATTCATGGTACTAGAAGTATATGTTCTCTGTTCCAGTGTCAAAGAGGATTAAAAGCTGGTTGAATTTATTTTTGTCTCTTTTCAGTAAGTAGTTCTTATTTTAAGTGTATAATTACAGTTTTTAGAAAATATCTAATAGAATTCACTAAATTAAATATTAATGGAAAATATAAATATATCATTATTGAATTATTTAAATTCTTATATTTGTACTAAATAATATTTTCAGTAAGCTGTTTGAAGAACTCTAAAGCCCTTCACCCCAAGTACTCACATAATGCAAGATGGGTCTTCAAAGCTGGAGTTCAGATATTAAACAACCTGGTTGTTTGGATGTGTAGTTTTTTTCTGAGTAACTCTGGCTCTAACACTACAGGTCAGCTGGCCTCATTCCCTGCAGCACCATTCTCTTACTTTAGTGATGTCAGTTGAAGGACTAACTTGAGACAGTAAATCCAACATCTTGAAAACAACAAATGGCACTAAATATAATATATACAAAATCTAATCAAGTTCTAATTCCAACCTTGCCTGCCTTTTTCTTTCCATTGCAGATCATGCATTCTTCTGGGACAGAATTCCAGAAGAGCTTGCAAAGGTGACTTCTGTCTTTTAACCTGATAACATTGTCAGGGTAATTTGGCTATCAATTTCACTATTATCTAGTTTGCCTTAGAATTCCTTTCTGACTGACTATATTCTCTTACAAACTCCCCCTTTGTTCTCCCGAAGAAAGGGGCAGGGAAGAATCAGGAAGTTTCTGCCATAAAAATAACAGATAAGAACTTGCTGATTATATATTGTGTCCTTTAAAACAAGAGCAACATGAAAGAACTTTGATTTAAAAATAGTGTCCGAAGGTGTTCTCTCCCACATCTCTCAAACACTCAATTCCTGGTGTATCTCTCCATTACTGTTTATGAGAAACAGAACACGATACCCAAGTTACCCTTCTCATGCTCTAAACACACTAAAATTACCACCAAAAAAATTAGTATTATAGCACTGGGAAGGCTCCAATGCTGAGAGTTTTGTCTGTCTAGTCCAGAATCAGCTATTCAGAAAGAGGGAGAGGCAGTAAATAAAATGGCAATTAAATTTTGTCTCATGTCTCACTGAAGACCATCCCATGATTTCAAGCTTGCTTGAATTCTAGGGAATTATGTGGTGTTCATGATGTGTCTTACTGGGACCTCCAAACTTTGGCAGATTTTTCACAACTTCAAAATTCAGATCATGTTTCTTTTCCATCCACATACCTGTTTGGGTGCTCGATACACCTGCATGTAAGTATTTCTTTCTCTGCCTGTGTGTATTCAGCCATCACAAAGTGATCTTTGGCCCTGAGCTTGTGACAGATTAGCTACCCATTGCTATTAAATGAAGTGAGTAAAGAACAGCGATGGTCTGTAAGCTTTGCACAAATATATTTCCAAGAAGCTTATCAAAATTTCTGTGTACCCTATTCTGCAGGAAAAGAAGGGATTTGACAAATATGAAATAATTTTGGTTTTACTTTTTCATTATCATCAGTCAGCAAGGAAGAGGCAAGTGAATCATGTGCTTCCTTTGGAAAATATTCTGAGAATTCTGGAAGCCTTCAACTATTTATTAAAATATAAAAAAAATCAGAACTAATTATATACTCAAATGGACAGCCCAGTTTATCCTCATCTATAGCTGTGGTAGAACACATGATCTGACTGGTGGAATCACACAAAGGCTATAGAATCTCCAAGATACCATATCAATAGTACAAACTCTCACTGAAATGCAGGAGTTATTTGATATTTTCTATCAAACTTACATCCACAAGGTTCCACACCATGCCAGGTGGATTATGTAATGGTAACAGTTGTCCCAGTTGCAATGTCTTCCTCCTTGCTTCCCTTTACCAAGAGCCTCATTTTATTTCCTTGGCAACGAAATAGAGTGACTTACTCACTGCACATTACTTACAAGAGCCATCTCTCCTTCAGTTACTGCAAGCTTACTATCATTTCAAATATTTGCAGCTTTCAAAATTACCCAACTCTTTACTTTTGAGGTTTCAGATTTGGTTTTCAGAAAATAAGGATGGTAACTTTTCAGTCTGGGCAAATCCTGGTTTTCTGCACATATCTAATAAAAAACATTGGATGGAATTTATTCATACAATCTTAAATTCTATTAAATTCTATTTAATAATTACTGACATGTATAATAATTTTTTCCTAGACCTGGATCAGGACTGAATTGAAGAAAATACAACACAGAAAACTGCAAAAAAATTTAGTTTTATCTGTAGCAACTCAGCCATTTCCAGAGCTCTATCATCTCTATAAAAGGGCTTTCACAAAGATTCAGCAAAAAACAGTAAAGGCCTCAAATAATTAGAATTAGTTAGATTTGATATATTTATCTTCCCAAATTATGTGACATTTTAATGTATCATTCAATGCTGTGACATCTTCAAGTCTCCCTGCCAAATATAGCAGAGAACATTCACAGTCCTAAAGCAAGCATCCTCTACAGTTTAATGAGTCAAAGCCATGTGTACACAGATATCAGGGTGATCAGCATGGTAGAAGAATAAACATAAATTTCAAGGTAAATTTCTGCTTTGTTTCCAAGCTAGATTTTGAAACAAGGCAACACTACCAGATAAATGAACCAAACATAGTAAATTGTGAAAATTTTTCTTAACAATTCACTGCACAAGTAATGGAAATACATGTTACTTCTACTGCTGTACTCTGGAAGCCAAAGCACAAGTCTGGAAATTTTGCAGCATCTGAGCTGCAACAGGAATTTACTAGGAATTTTTCAATATGGGATGTACCCTCAAAACCCCACCTTTTGGAATCACATGAATAGGTGTCCAGACAGGGACAAAAAAAGTCAGAATCTAAATCACAGCAACTGAAAACCAAAGAAGGCTAGGGGGAATTAAGCCATCACTTCAACATTTTCATGTATTTTAAGGAATTCATGGCCTTGAGTCACAAGCTAAGGAAAGACAAAACGTGACACTTCTCTCTTGGACATGGAGGTAAAGATAAATTTATTATATATATTGCAGAAATGTGCTGCTTGTGAAACAAGCTTCTAGAAACTGGTAGCAAACAGAAGCCAAAAAGGCAGCTATTAAAAGAGAACAGTATTTTTGGTCTACATAACAGCAGTGAGCTTCATCACAGCAAAACAAAGCAAACTGCCTGGATAAGAATAATCTTGCACAGCATTATCCTCTGGCTGTATGTGAGCTGTCAGATCTTCTGAGATCCTAGATTTAAAACAACCAACCAAACAAGCAAAAATAGCCCTTCTCTGCATCCCAACATGATCCAGATTTACCAAGACTTCCACAGTAAACATTTAGAAAGGCAGGGAATCCTTCATTCCCTAGACAGAGCAACAAATAGGTATAATCCACTTGCAAATCCTACCAATGCCACACCAATTTATAGCCTCATAAGGGTGTGGTAATCCTAGAAACCACACAGCTCTTCCCTTTCTATTTAGAAAGGATTTTTTTTTTTTTTTCATTTCCATTCTATTTAGAAAGATTTTCTTTATGGGAGAGAACAAGAAGGTTTGACCTTGCCATTAATGGAATGTTTCCTGGAGATATTTAATTAATTATCCTATCCTATCCTATCCTATCCTATCCTATCCTATCCTATCCTATCCTATCCTATCCTGTCCTGTCCTGTCCTGTCCTGTCCTGTCCTGTCCTGTCCTGTCCGTTATCACAGTAAACAAGTCTTCATCTTGCTATATAAATATCAGAATATATAAATGGAAATACACAAAATTTGTGCTTTATACCATTTGGGATGGAACAGTGCCCTAAACATATTTTGATAAAGCCAATTAAATCAGTTATGCTCTTTTTATAAAAAAATATTTTACAGGTTCCTGTTTGTTTATATGTAATATTACAGGCAGTTCTTTAGATACTAGTCCCACATTATCTTGCAATTAGAGGTTGTTATTCAGCCCACAGGAATGTCCAGCTGATCACAAAAGTTTCTATTGACTCACTGCTGTCTTTGATGTATTTCTGTTGGCCCCTTGGTTACAACCAGTAGTCACTAAAAACACCAATCACCATCACAAGAACCAACCAAAGAAAGTGTCTTCTAGCTAGCAGCTCTTAACCTTTCATGAGTTGCCCTGCCCTTAAAAAATACTTCAAAAAACATTGAAGCATGACAAGCCTTCCTTGATTTAGTCCTTCTTTATGGGTCCTGGGGAAATTAATAGTGGATTCTCATTGCTTC